CTTGGTCTATATATAGGTTCCTCATAAACACAATTAAGTGTTCTGGAATACCCATTCTTTGCAATATTACCCATAGCATGCCCTGATCCATACAATCAAAATCCTTTTCATAGACAATAAATGTCTTTCTGGTATTCTTTTTTTTTTTTTTTTGAAATCTGAACCTGTTTATTTGATCAGAGAAACACAATTCTACTGCAGTTTAGGTGCTGCTCTGTTTTGCTGTCAGTCTCCGGTCTCTCTCTTCAGCGATGGTGAGTCGAATGCCCTTTCCTCTGGGTAGGGAAATCCAAGGCTTATTACCTTTGCCAATGACAAAAATGTTGGAAAGTCTTGTGGCAAAGCTGTTGCCATTGGCATCCTTCACATGCACAACATCAAAGGAACCAGGGTGTCTTTCTCTGTTGGTGATTATACAAACACGGCCAAGATTGGCTCCACCGATCACCATGCACACATTACCAGTGTCAAATCTGATGAAGTCGATTATCTTCCCGGTTCCTAAATCAATCATGACGGTGTCATTCACCTTGATGAGAGGATCTGGGTAACGGATGGTTCGAGCATCATGAGTCACGAGGTGTGCGATTCCCTTTGTACCAACAAGTATCTTTCTCACTTTGCACAGCTTGTACTTTGCTTCTTCAGCTCTGATGCGATGAACAGCAAAACGGCCTTTGGTGTCATAGATCAGGCGGAAATGCTCACCTGTCTTCTCGATGCTGATGACATCCATGAATCCAGTAGGGTATGTGATGTCAGTTCGGATCTTGCTGTCGATTCTGATGAAACGCTGCATACATATTTTCTTTACCTCATCTCCAGTCAAGGCATACTTGAGTCTATTCCTGAGGAAGATTATGAGGGGCAGACATTCTCTCAGCTTGTGAGGACCTGTTGATGGACGAGGCGCAAAAACACCCGTTAGTTTGTCGAGCATCCAATGTTTAGGCGCTGTAAAACGCTTCAAGTGCTTCTTGGGGCCCCGGGCCATGGCGGGCGAAACTCGGTGAAGGACGGTCCTCATTTTTGCTGGCCTATGCATGATGTGCTTATTCAGGGACTAGTCGCTCCTGGTAAAATTACCAAAGTACACGAGATGAAGTTGTTAGGGTAAGGTTAGGAGGAAAATTACTAGCGGAAAAATTACTGCAAACATACAACCAACAAATATAAAGAGCTGGCAGGACAGGATGTGAGTAAGATATGGCAGTAGCTCCTGGTACATCTGGAACCCAGGTGGGTTTGTTAGCCCTCCCTCCCTATTCAGCTACTCAGTGGGATTTGTTATCCCTACCTATTCAGCTATCGGTATCCTGATGTGGCACTGTGGGTTAGTGCACCAGACTGCAAAGCCATTTGCCCTGCAAGGTCCGCAGTTCAAGCTCACCAGCTGCTCCTCAGAAGCCCTATACAGCGTCTCTTATGAATTGGGCTGGGAACCTTAAGGTCAGCAGTTCAAAACTACAAGCCATTTCACGGGAGAAAGATGAGGCTTTCTACTCCTGTCAAGATTTACAGCCTTGTAAACCCTTACAGGGTCGCTATGGGTTGGAATCGACTTGATGGCACTTAACAACAACAACATGGGTCAGAAACGACTTGACAGCACTTCACAACAACAATTCAGCTATCAATTAACTTTCCCCTTCTGATTAACCAGCCCTAACCAGTTTTTGGCCCAGGTACAAAACATTGATGGATCACCCCAACATGGTGTCTCTGGGCAATCCTGGTTCGCCTGACAGAAGGACATATGCACAGACAGTTACATCAAGTATCTCAGATGTCTGCAACAGAATCTGTTGTGAGATCTTAGACTCCATCATGGATACCGTATGTGTGTGCAGCATGAGAAAAGAAACAAGGAAATAGCACATAAAAACAGAACTGCGCAAACAGGAAAGCCTGCTCCTTTATTGAAATCTGGCAAAACCACATCTGCAGTTCAACTTCTCACTATAAAAACGCCTTAGATTGTGAGCATGAGAAGACACTACTGTCTACAGCATGTTTCCCCTGAAGGTATTTCCATACTTTAAGAATCTTTAATACTGTATTAAATGACTTTCTAGTAGTCTGTAGCCCAACCTGGCAACAGTTTGTTGGCAACTCTAGCGGGATGCTTGGGTTATGACTTTGAAGGCCCCTTGGAACAGGATAGAGCCTGTATCTGGTGAATTATAAGTGGCCACCGAGACCCTTTATTTTGATTTTTCACCACTGACTTGGTTGCTCCCTGTCCAGGCATTCTCTGAGGTCCCTTCTTTTCTATGGACCCAAATCTTCAACTTCTGTCTTTTTGCTGTCTGCTTCTTCCCTCTTTTCATCCTGTTCTGTAATAGCAAGAATCATTGTTCTTTTAGGATATGTTATACCTCTATGTTTCTCCCCTTGGTATTGAAACTTTCTGTGTACTTCCATGTTCTCCCTTGTCTTCAAAGTCACCACGAAGGGTTTGTGTCCCCTGGGCTGGTAGCTTCAAAGTTGCCAGGAGGTGTTCAAGTTCCTTGGGCTGCTAAACAAATATATTGGAAGACCTGATTCCTACTTCAGGGGTTTGAGTCCCCAATAACAAGGAACAGGTATGGGATTGATCAACCCATTTTGATCCAATCTTTGGCCACGCCCATGGATGGGAAGTTTGGTTGGACCTGAGATGACCTCAAACTGCTCTGGTTTGTGTCCCCTTCTCTTCACTTCTCCTACCTTGTCTGATACCAATAATTCATTCTTTCCTAAATTAAACAACCTGACTGCCCAGCGGCATATCCTCTCTCTGCCTAATCTTCGGCAATGTAAGGAAAAAAGGAAGTTATATCAGTAGACCCTGAGAAATTTAGAGATAAATTCCAGAAGTTGTCCCTTAATTTCTGAAAGGGAAAAAACAACCCGGCGCCGCTCATCAACCACACCTCACACCAAATGGCCCATCTAGAGACTTTTATTCAGGGTGAGGAAGGTAACCTCTGCCGGAGAGAGAAGGCAGGAGGCAGAAGGGAAGAGAGGAAGAAGAAGAGGGCAGAAATAAGAGGAAGAGAGAGTCAACGCTAAGGGAGGGGACTTATATAGGTTCAACAGGAAGGGAGTGGTCATTGCTGGTGTGATTTAGCTCTGGCCTATCAAAAGCCATGTTGCCTTTTAAACTATGTGCCTTGTAGCTTAGGGCGGGGAAACAGACAAAATGGAGTTGGAGGGAGGGGAGAGGGAAGAATTGGAAGGTATTGTAACATTGTAACAATTTTATTCTAGCCTGGATGGAGATGGAAATGGTATTAGACTTTTGGTTCACATCAACAAAATAGATTGGATTAGAGCCAAGAGAATATGCAGATAAAGCACACAAGACTAACTCTAGCTCTGAAAATTTTCAGCCAGGACTAGCTGCTATGCAGGACCTGAACCTAGGGTGGGATTATGATGAGGAGGGAGGAAGATTTTGACAAATGCAAACACCTAGTTACATGTGTTAGAAGTGATAGAGAGATGTGTGACTAAAGTAGTCAATTATGGCAAAGTTAAATATATTACTCAGGGGAAAGAGGGAAATCACCCAAACTTCTTGAGCAGGCTGACGGAAATATTTAGAAAGTATACAAATGTGTAGCCAGATTTGGATACAGGGAGGTGGTCCTGAGTATGCACTACTTGATTTAGGCCTACCCAGATATTAGGAGAAAATTAAGAAAAGCAAGGCAGAGACCTGACACTCCTTTGGCTTGATTAGTGGAGGAGTCTAACAAGGTTTATAACAACTGAGATAAGACTGAGAAAGACCTAGAGAACAGAAAAATATAGAAGTAAACTCATATACTGGCTGTCGTGTTGGGACAACCAACTAACTTTGCCCCCCTCCCACCTTGGAGAAACCTATCTGGCTCTAATAGCAGAGGAAGAGGGCAATAAAGAGATGGCAGGGAGCCCTGTTAAGTGCCATCAAGTTGGTTCTGACCCATGGTAATCCTATGTACAACAAAATGAAACACTGCCCAATTCTGCCATCCTCACAATTGCTACTACATTTGTGCCCATTGTTGCTGCCATTGTGCCAATCCACTTCATTGTTGTTGTTGTTAAGTGCCGTCGAGTCGGTTCCGACCCAAAGCGACCCTGTACAGGGTTTCCGAGGGTGTAAATCTTTACGGGAGTAGAAAGCCTGATCTTTCTCCTGCGGAGCAGCTAGTAGTTTCGAACCGCTGACCTTAAGGTTCACAGCCCGATTCGTAACC